TTCTAACGCGTCTTTTCCGGTACCAATACTCCCTACGCGTGGCTCCAGTTCTAACGCGTCTTTTCCGGTACTCCTACTCCCTAGGCGTAGTCCCCAAAACACGGAAGACAGCTTTTGTCCACCCGATCCCTAAAAAAGGCGACCGCTTAGACCCGTCCAGCTACAGGCCTATCGCCATCACCTCCTGGTTCTCCAAAATAATGAAATACATTATAAACTGCCAGCATATGCTGTACCTTGAGGATCACTAGTTGATTAGTGACCGCTAATACGGTTTTCATCGGTGTCGATCAGCTGGTGATCTTCTGGTCTACCTGACTCATAGATGGGCGGAGGCAGTAGAGTCCAAGAGGGAGGCGTTGGCTGTTAGTTAGGACATTGCGAAGGCCTTCGATCGGGTTTGGCACAAAGCGCTTCTTTCGAAGCTCCCTTCCTATAGGCTTTACGATAAAGTGTGCAGTTGGATCACCAGCTTTCTTGCAGATCGGAGCATCAAAGTCGTTGTAGACGGTGCATGCTCCGACTACAAGTCTACTAACGCTGGTGTTCCACAAGGCTGTGTGCTATCTCCAACGCTGTTTCTTCTGCATATCAATGATATGTTGCAAATTGGTAACATTCATTGCTATACAGATAACATTTTACAGATGTTAAGCCCTTGCATAAATCAATTGTTCAAAATTTAAGTTCAGATCACTGTTGATAGTTGGTGTAACTACCTTACATACACAAACAGAAAAATAAGAAAGTTGTGTTTGTACCAATAAATGAACATCGCTTGGAGAGGTTTAGAAGTAATATAATAAAAAGACATCCATCATTTTCATTTAAAAATAGTGCTAATTATTTGTATGGTACGTTATTTAAAATTATAAGTTGTGAGTTTAGTAGAATATTTACATCTAAAACTTTCTCTTTTAACAGTCGCAAATCAGTTAATGAATGGGCAACAGTAGGAATTTATCAAAGTAGGCGAAGGTTATACGAGCTTTATGATGAAAGATCATATAATAGTAGTATTATATTTAGAGATTATGTAAATACATATTCTAAAATATTTAAAAAGTGTGCTCCACTGTTAAGGCTTTACATTTAAGCAACAAATTTAAAACTGCATCCGACAAAATTAAAATGACCTGGAGATTAATAAATAATGAAACAGGCAAGGTTAAACCGCGCAACTCGAATTTTCAATTCAATATTAACAATAATTTAACGCGATCTGATCAAGAAGTTGCATGGTTTTGAGAAACATTTTACTGATGTTCCTTTTTTGACAACAAAATCATTAAGTTCTTCTCCTACAATTGCTGAATCATTGCTTAAACAAAATGTAAAGGCTTGTTCAAATACTTTTAAATTCCATAGAGTACTGCCAAAAGATATCGTTAAATATTTTAAAACTATTGATGTTTAGAAGACGGCAGACTTATGGGGAATTTCCGTTAAAGTTATTTTATCTATAATAGATATATCCTTATCTAGCCACTACATTTAATACAAGCGTCGAATCTGGTATGTTTTCTGATTTAATGAAACATAGAAAAGTCATACCTATATTTAAATCTAGTAGTACATTAGACCCCGCCAATTTTAGACCAATTTCTGTACTACCAACATTTAGTAAAATTTTTGAAAAAATTATTTTGGATCTGATGTTAAGTTTCTTTAATATAGATAAATTGCTACATAAAAATCAATTCAGTTTTACAGGGGGTCGCTCGACAACTGACGCTGGAGTTGAGCGTATTTAATATATTTTTTGTGCATGTGAGAAATCAGAGGATGCTTTGGGTATATTTTGTAACCTTTCCAAGGCCTTCGACTGTGTTCACCATTAGACATTAATCAGGAAGCTACAGTACTATGGTGTCAAGAACACAGCGCTTAAACTTATTATTTCATATTTAAGAAATAAAAAGCAAAAGGTTATTATTATATAGTAGTTATTATAAAGACAATATTTCATGCTGGCACAACGCCTTTCATTTCAACAAATCGATCGAACAGGAAAATAAATCATAAACAATACTTGGGGAATTAAAGACACAATGCGTTTTATGCATTTTAATGAATACGCAGAATATAGTACGCTACACATTGCGATAAATCAACACAAATGTTAAACTGGGAGTCTGTATTTTTGTTTGCTTCAATGATTAAAATTGGATTCTTGTCATAATTTCTTCTAATATGTTTTGTTTAAAAATTGCGATGAACATTATCGAATATGATAATTATTACCTTGAGGTAATAAATCTACAAAGAACTCTCAAAACTCCTATAATTTTGAGAGTCACTATAGACTTTCAAAATATCCTATAATTAAATAAGTAATAATATAATAAATAGCTTTGTAATGTACTTGATGGTATACCGGAAATATATACTGACGATTTATCTTTTAAAACAAAAATAAATTTCTTCCGTGCTATAAAAAACCTATAATTAATCTTTCAAAAGTGTCGCATAAAAAGCGGAAACGATATGGAAACTTTTGCGATCGTAATACATTTTCTATTCTTAAACATTAATTAAGGAAAACTACAGCAAAAGATTAATTAAAATTTCTTAAGATGTTGCAATCAAAATATTTTTGGTCTGTTGTAAAATTTAGAAAATCAAAGAATGAAATTCCAGATGGGGTCTAGAAATCCGTTGTCGTCTCTAAAAAAAGGTTTTTCTACACAACACCTCGCAAATCATTCCTGCCAAGAATTATACAATCGAAGTTAAAAAAAAACATACAAATTTCAATAGAAAATATAGTATTACTATTATAATATACAACTGCAAGACGTCAAGATACTATAAGCTCGTTCTGCGTAGATTTGACCAAAATTCATATTCAAAAGCTGCAGGTAGCCTGAGCTAATTATGTTGCCAGGATGTCATCTCATTCGGGAATCAACAGTCAGAAAAGGTCGGGAATTAACAGGTTCCTGTCGGCGAAACAGACACAATAGTTAAACAATTGAAATTTTCATAATATATGATTCATGGGACAAGGAAAGGGTAAAAAATAAGTAAAAGTTAAATTAAACGAGATAAAATTTGAAGAATTTGTTTTATTCATTAAATTAATTACAAACTATAAAAAGACAGTACTATAGTTTGTTATTCATTTTTATAAATCACATGCAAGCAGTACAAATTTTATATGATAAAGAAAATATATCTATACGAATAAATAAAGGATCAATTTGTAATGTTAAAACAACAGCTTTTTACTAAATGCATATTTTCATATGCATTTAGTATATACGGTACTGATAACAAAAAAAAAAAAACAATTTTTAAAGTATTTGTCTGTCTGTTGTTTTTTTTTATAGAAGAGGGGGCAAACGAGCTTGCGGCTCACCTGATGGTAAGTGACTACCGCCACCCATGAACAACCGCAACACCAGGGGAATTGCAGATGCATTGCCGGCCTTTTAGAAAGGTGTAAGCTCTTTTCTTGAAGGTTCCTAATGTCGTATCGGTACGGAAAATTCGCTGGTGGTAATTGATTTCACAAGGAAGTTGTGCGAGGGAGAAAACTTCTTCTAAATTTCTTAACTTCTTTTAAATCGCACAGTGGTGGACCGCCAATCATCCAGATGGAATGGATGGTAACGCGAGTTTTGTCGCGATGTGCGATGGTGAAATTGAGCGGCTGGAATTAGTCCGAACAATTCCTCAGAGCACTCCCCGTGATCTCTCTACGCAATGCCAGTGTATCGAGCCGATCAGAAAGAACTCGGTCGTCGACGATTTGAACCGCTCTGCGCTGGATGCGTTCAAGTGGAAGGAGCTGGCACTGGGGTGCCCCGGCCCAGAGATGAGAACAGTCTTCCATGTGGGGCCAAACTTGCGCTTTGTAAAGTTGCAAGCGATGTGCCGGCATGAAATACTGTCTCGCTCTGCTGAGCACGCCAAGCTTTTTAGAGGCCAATTTGGCCTTCACTTCCAAGTGATAACGAAACTTCACACTATTCGATATGTCGACGCCAAGGATTCCGATACTAGCTAAGGCATCACTAGCGGTTTTAGCGGTGTTGTCAGTTTGTTCCGGCTAATCTCCGAAACGGCTGAACCGATTTTGACGAGACTTTCACTGGTAGATAGCTGGTTTTATGAGAAGTAACAAATGCTACTTTATTTTAGAAAAAAAATTAGGGTTCTTTGCAAAAAATATTAAAATACATAAAATAAAATCGTAATAAATTCCATGTGGGGGAAGTCCCGGGTAACAGCTAGTCATAAAATATAAATCGGTTTCATGAGACATTACTCAGTATAAGTATGTATATTATATACGTCCCAGCAGTGGGAATTATATATTATATTTACTTATACTGTATATACGTCTCACTTCTGGGCACAGGCCTCCTCTCATTTCCAAGAGGGTTTTAGCACAAGGAAAGGTCCGACGTGCTGCCCCAATGCGTGTTGGCGAACATCACATGTCTTTAGAATAAAATTTCAGACATGTAGGTTTCCTTAAGATGTATTCCTTCACAGCCGAGCACGTAAGAGCAAGAAGTAAATCAGCACTTAAAATTGCAATTAAAAATTTCATTGGTGCCGGCGGGGATCGAACTCGGGTTTCTCGCGTACTATGAAATGAACAGTGAGCGCTAACCATCTGAGCTACCACGGCTCAGATTCAAACAAACTTTTCTTAATATTTTATGATTTTATTGAATATATTTTTTTACAAATAAAAATCAGGAGTTAACCAAATTTGATGATATAAAATATGTGAAATTAAAAGTTTTAAGTTTGTTTTATTTCTTGATTATTCATTCCTTTATTACTATTTTTATAAACTGCTTCTTAATCAATTTTTCTTTTGTTTCAGAATGTTCCGTTGTAGCATAATAGCAACTCCTAATAAACATAGATAGCATAGTGAGTGACCATTCATTTATTATAATAATGACTATAAATTTAAGTAAGACGACATGTGAACAAAATTTACCCCAAATGTGACATTTTAATTTATCAGTGCCAAAACAATGTTTTGCCGCAAAGAACTCAAATTAATCTATGCAACTGTTGTTATTTTACTTGAAGCAGAATTATTAGTGAACACAAAGGCAATGGAGTCGCAGAGGTCTTCCATTACTATAACACAAAACAGTGACGATTTAAAATCTTTAGAACTCTGTACGACAAAAAATCAACAGAGGTTGGGCAGTGTATTTGGTAACTTTACAAGACATCACAAAAAAGGTATGATTTTGTTTAGTTGTTGCTCTTTTAGGGATAAGAAAATCTTTTATTCCATATTCTTTCGTAGTGTCATCATCATCACGTTCATAATTACATTCCTTTACAAGTCCACTGCCAAAAATAGATCTCAACAAAGAAATGCCACATATGCCGGTGCTGAGCTATCCGCAGCTGCTTTCAGCCTAATGGCGGTGCCGTATGCATATCTACAACCTCATTGCTAGCAGCAATCTCTTAAGAATAACTTACTATTAAAACCTGTGACTGAAAACCCACCATTTTGGCGTAGTAATTATGGCAAATATCCTCCTCAAAGTTGACCAAGATACTAAAAATACGCAACAGGCTTCTTTGATTGCCTAGAGTTGTTTATCCGGCAGGTATTTCTTTTTGTTCTATCTGTTCTGTTTTCATTATTGAGGGTTATGGAGTAGGAAAGAAATCACCCTTATTCACTACAAATTGCCTTTTTAATTGTCCGCTTAATATTTTTTAAACTGAAATCAAAATATATTTCTTCACGGGCTACGATAGTGATAAACGTACGATTGACTAAGAAAAGATCTACAGTAAACGTATTTAATTCAAAACATGGTATTAATGAATCTGTATAATGTATTTTGTATTTTCTTGTTACCCTAAATCCAATAACTATACCATACCATAATGATAAATAGAAACAATATCCCCTACAATGAATTTATATTTATTACCACTTGTGATAATGCGAAACAATAGCTTGTGTTTTTCACGCAAATTGAATCTAATGACTCAGTTTCTGCTTATTTATCTGAATGTAATATTTCCAGGACACAGAAGAAGAACTACCACGTCAACTACAACCTCAACACAAACTACAATCGTTTATACAACTATTGAGGATGTCGAGGATTCATCAGACGTTTATACTACAAATGCATATTCGTTAAGTACCCAATCCACAATCCTAAAATTACCTAAACCACTGAGGCTTTCATCACTGATGTTAGATAAAGATTATGAAGAAGAGGTAGATAATTTTGACAAAATCATTAAAAAAGAAATAAAGGACGTTATAGTAAAAGAACGTCATCATTCTAAACACTACGAAAGAAATAAAAAAGAAATTGTAATTGAATTAGATGAGACGTCATTGTCAAAATCATTAAACAAAATAAAGAAACTGTATAGGGATTCAACTGCCTCTGCAATTAATAAGCTTAATAGCAAAACAAGTAAGAACGGAATATTTTTGACAGATAACTGTACCACAGTCGTCGCCCAAATCGGAACCACAGCTATTTTACATTGCGAAGTTAGTGACATAACCGAAAATACGGTAAGAAAATAAGCGAAAGTATAGTAGTAACTTGTTAAAGCAAAATGCAATAAGCTAGCTATGCCCTAAGTGCTTTAAATATTTTTTTATCTATAAAGACACAAATTAGCGATGTTTTATAAATATAGGTATATACATAAATTTAAAATTTCAACAGGTTACTTGGATTAGAAGAAAAGATTACTCACTTCTTTCAGTAGGCCTTGTTACCTACAGCGCTGATAGCAGATTTTTTTCAGCCCACGGACGCCACGTTAAGGTAATTTATATGGATCTATGAAAACATTTAATATTTATTATAAAACGTATTTATTAAAATACAAGTTATGGTTTTCAAAAATCAGGATAAAGCTTAAATCTAACTTTGACATTACTACAATATTACAATATTTGCTTCTGGCTTTGCCCTCGTAAACTACTGAGTAGAACTATTTGTTTGACCTCTGTGACTTTCTAAGCATGCGGTAATTTAACATTATTATTAAATAATGTTGATTAACTGTACTATGGTTATAATACAAGTATACGTACTTTGAGATTTTAATTAAAATTATATTCCAGGATTGGGCATTACACATAAGATTTGCAACGTCAGCTGATGCAGGTTACTATGAATGCCAAGTTCCAACACATCCACCTACAAGTATTTTTTTCAAGCTTGTTCTAGTTGGTGAGTTTGTGCTACTTTAAAATCTTTTTATGGTAAAAACAGTTAAAATAGTATATATATATATATATACTGGGTAAAGTCTTCTAACGTTGATAATGATTTTGGAGCACTTGAATAATCTCGAAATATATTATTTCTAAGACATGCAGGTTATTTCATGAATTATCTCAGACAGAGCACAATAATGGTAAATCAGTAGCACCTTACTTTCATTCAACAATTGCAGTGTTGGTGGGCACAAACTATGGTTTCACATTTACTATACTATTACGAACGCTTATCCTTCGAAATACCCCGGCTAGATACCCCGGCTTAATATAATTCTTTTATTATACATATTCTTACTGCATAACCATTATTACAGCGGCGTATGCTGAAATTGTTGGAGAATCAGAGAAAATCATACACGAGGGATCTATGTTGAAACTTATTTGTGTAGTTAAGAGATCTACGGAACCACCATCTTACGTATTCTGGTATTTTGAGAACCGAATGATAAATTATGACTTAAGTAAGTATTACTATTCTTCGGTTGACAATGATAAATATATTTTTACTAATGAGAAAACTATAATACATTATATACATTTCATATCATCATTACATTACAACTGATCGAGAAGTGTAAATTTATGTCCTTTAAATAACCATTGTTATTTTAGTAATTACTATACACTTCAACATAATACTCATACACATATTGTTTATTTTATTTATAAAATAAAAATATATTGTTCTAATACTTTAACTCACATATCATTATTTTCTACAGATGGGGTTAGTGTAAACAATGGACGACAAACAAGTGAACTGATAATCGGTAAAGCTGAACCGAGACATGCCGGAAATTACACGTGTGTTCCAGCTAATGCTAAAGCTGCATCAGTTACCGTACACGTAGTTCAAAGTGAGTATTGTGTTAAAATATTTTTTTTAAATTTATTTAACATAATTAATTTTGTTATTCGTTCATCAGCTTATAAAATTAATCCTAAATTAAGTTGCACGACTCAACCTGTAAATGTTATGTACACTTGTAATTGATATGCATATCAGAAAATATAAAAGTGTGTATGTTTTTGTGACAATATCATATATGTATATTGTAAGTGTACTTGTTAAATAAATAAATAAATAAGTTAAACTCTATTACTGGCACCCGTATATTTTAAAGGTTCTACCATAATAACACGTGTGATCGGCGAGTACGAGACCTCTTTAATCTCGTTGTGATGTACATAATGTAGCTCGTTGGACACACTCTCAACTGATACAGGGGAAAATTCAACTGCAGGCTGAATAAAATAAATGTTTGACTTTTTTTTAAATCACAATGTTTCGGGCTCCTTACAACACGGAGAAGACTAAGGTGTTTAATGTCCTGATATCATAATTAAAATAGGCTATCTTCAACTTTTATATATGTACTAATATTTGGTCCAACTTACACAAGAGTGGCAGATTTCAAACTTTGAACAGACTTAATTTTCGAACGCAACGTAGGAGAACGGCGCGGAAGGGGTTATTCGACGTGCAAGCGATGCGGATTTTTTAATAGCCATGGATCCGTGGAGTGTAGAGCACCGCGCTTTTGTCGTCGAGGTGTACTTTTCGAGTGGATTTTCGCTGTCTGAAGCCCGTCGTCGATTTAATAATCACTACGGTATTCGTCGAGTTCGTGATGGACCATCAATCAACCTGATTCAGTCTTGGGTAGCAAGGTTTAGAGCAACGGGATCAACAATAAATAGACCCAGACCAGGACCAACACCAACGGTAGCCACGGACGAAAATATCGAACGTGTTATGGCTTCTGTGATTGAAAATCCTCGTTTATCACTTCGAGCACGTTCATCGATTTTTGGTATTAGTAAATCAACTTTACAGGTAATAATGCGAAAAATACTTAAATTACATCCTTATAAGATCCAAATCGTCCAAGATTTACTCGAATCTGACTTTGAATTAAGGAAAACTTACGCAGAGACGATGTTGTTGAGATTTAAAACTGCTACTCGGATGGGTAACATATTCTTCAGTGACGAAGCCCATTTCCATATCGGAGGATATGTAAATAAAAAAAATTTTCGTTATTGGGATATTTCCAACCCGAGAAAATTGCATGAAGAGCCTTTACACAAACCAAAAGTCACAGTATGGTGTGCAATATCTGCGTCTGCCATAATAGGGCCTTATTTCTTCGAAAATGAACGTGGCCAAACTGTAACAGTAAATTCCGAGAGATATGCTGAGATGATCAGTGATTTTTTTAGACTAGAATTACAGAATAGTCCATATTGTAACCGGAATACGTGGTTCCAGCAAGATGGGGCCACAGCTCACACTGCTAATGTGGCCATGAGTGCAGTGCGAGAGTTGTTTCCCGAAAAAATCATATCCCGGAACGGCACCATACCGTGGCCTCCCAGGTCACCAGACCTAAGTCCGTGTGACTTTTTCTTATGGGGATACTTAAAATCTATCGTTTACAAAACAAATCCGACCACTGTGACACAGCTGAAAGAAAACATTCAAGCAGAAATCAGCAAGATTCCCCAGTCGCTTTGTAAAAGAGTTTTCGAAAACATGCGTTCCAGACTCGAGGAGTGTGTTAGGGTCGATGGCCGCCATTTAGAAAACGTTGTTTTCAAAAAATAAAATCCGCCTTTATGTTCTTTATATTTTAATAAAAATACTTTGCATAAAACGTGTCGTTCTTTTTTTTATAATTTTTCAAACTTTGAAATCTGCCACTGGACACCCTGTATTTAATTAGTACGCTTGATATTGGATATAGCTTTTGTGCACGACGCAACAATATTAAACAAACGAAAGAAAATGCTTATTGTAACCGGCGCTAGTTGAACAACCTAGGAGCGGTGGGCGGAGCCATGACGACGGTGTAATTATCAGGCCACGCCTCTGGTTCGACAACTAGCAAGGGTTATACGGCGGAACTAGCGCAACCTTATGTTGAATTTAAATTATAATTTGTGTAAATAATTGTATTACTTGTATCGAACGATAAAAAATAATGATTGTATTATAACTAAGTTTAAGGTTGAGTTGTAACTGTGCAATAACTCTCCCAAATAAAGGCACCGTATGAACAGGGAGAGTTAGCATAGTCTTCTAATGAAAACTATAATTGTTAAATATAATAAATGTTTACTTTATTATATAATAAATATATTAGGCCGTTAGGCACATAAAAAAAATAGTAGTAGTGTAACCAAAGAGCATGTTATCGTGACGCGGCCGCGGAGCAAATGAAGCCACGCGCACCGCGCCACGACGTTTTATATTTATAGTGCTGAGGCGGGGGGAAGGATTCTCCGCCTAAAGCAGCTGAAAATTATAATGTAAACCTGTAAATAAGTAAAAATATTGATATGTACACCCTAGTTTAACAAGTAGTTATAAGAATATTATATAGTGAATTATGTTTATTAGTTTGTAAGGTTATTAAATAAATAAAGATAGGCGCGGGGGTGAGGCAAGGGTCCGCTGGCCAGCAGCGGCCAAATCATATAAAAGACGGGCCGGCCGCTAGGGTCAGCAGTCGCTCTCCAGCCACCGAAAAGGCACCAGCAAGAAAAGAAAAAGTACAAGTTCCTCCTCACCGCCGCTTGCCTCCAGTTAAAAGCAAGACCAGCGCGTTTTATTCCATTTTTCGCACGGCATTACGGCGATCCGTAATATTAATGGTCCTTCGAGAAGCCGGATTACTAGAAGAAAAAGACAATATCGGTCTTGGTATTGCCGGAAGAAAGAAGCAAACCGCAAGAACGAAAAAATATTATTGTGAAGAAAAATGGTGATTACGCGTAGTAACAACGGAGAATCATCGAAGCGTCGCAAGGATGAACAAACAACCCAGGGGGCCACAGAAGAGGCCTCCGGGGGCGACTCAGCCGCTAGTGGTTCAACAAACACCACTAGCGAAACCACAACGGTCAGCGATACGACCGCTACCTCGGCAACCGATAGAACAACCGCAACGGAAGAAACCCAGCAAGAGGGTGATCAAAGATCGCAGTGCACATTGAAGCCCGGCGAGACTAGGTCACGCCGCTCCGTAGCCTCACGCAAGAGACTCCTCGCGGAGTTAGAGGCGAAAGAGCGGTTAGCCGAACTCAAGCTCGAGCAGGCTCAGTTGCAAGCAAGAACAGAATTGCAAGAAATACACGTGCAGCGACTACAAGCAGAAGCCGGATCAACCGATGAAGATGAAGAAATAGAAGACGATTTGGCATCAGTGCGCATTAGTACATGGTTGCAAGAAAAACCTACATCGCAACCCACGCCTCAGCCCGCGCCACAACCCGCGCCACAACCCGCGCCGCAGCCCGCGCCGCAACCCACGTCGTACTTCGCGCCGCAACCAGCACTGCAGATCGCACCACCCGTACTTCAACAGTGTGCGCCGCAATACGCTCCGCAACATACCGCGCCGCAGAAAGAAGACTATGGACAGGCGCAGCAGCAAATCGACGTCGCTACCTTAGCCGCTGCTCTATCACAAGCAGTACGAAGCACAAGGGAGCCGCCGAAATATATACAAGAGCTGCCCTCATTCAATGGTAGCAGCAAGGAGTGGCTCAGCTTCAAGACAATGTACGAAGAATCTTCAAAGTACTTCACGGCGAACGAAAACATAGCGAGAATACGCCGAAGCTTAAAAGGGACAGCAAAAGAAGCCGCAGGTTGCCTACTTATAAGCCAACCAGATCCCAGAATTATAATAGAAGCTTTGGAAAGGAGATTCGGACGACCAGAAGCGTTAATTCACTTGGAAATAGAGAAGCTGAAGCTGCTGAACAAAGTTACGGACAATCCCAGGGAGCTATGCATATTCGCAAATCGCATAGCGAACGTAGTGGGCACCGTGGAAGCACTCAAGAAAGCACACTATCTGCATAGTCCAGAAATGACGCGAGTTATCACAGACAAACTCACGCCCATATTGAAAAGCAAATGGTACGACTATGCAGCCAGAAAGAAAGAAGATATCCCAGAGCTTAAGAAGATATCCATGTTCTTAAACGAAGAAGCGGATAAATGCAGCGCGTATGCCTTGCCGGAGTTCATCGCAGAGGACAGCGAAACGAGAGAGCGAAGACCGAGAAAAATAGAACGTGCCTTCGCCACAAGCAAGAAACCATATGAAGAACGCTGCCCTCAATGCAAACAAGAACACAAACTGCCCGATTGCAAGTTATACGCCGCTCTGTCCACAAATGACAGATGGGAAGTAGCAAAGAAGTACAATATCTGCTACCGCTGTCTGCGAGGCAAACATCGTCGATTACTGTGCAAAGCTCCACCGTGCGGAAAAGGCGGATGCATGATGAAACACCATAAATTGTTGCATCACGACAGAACAGCAGTAATGGAAAAAGAACCCGCTATGGAAACCGCAACATCGGCAAAGGAGGTCAACACAGCGACTCGACCGTACAAGCACCGCCGCGCTTACCTAAAGATTGCGCCCGTAACAATAAGGGGGCCGCTAAGCTGCGTCGAAACATACGCATTATTGGATGAAGGGAGCACGGTCACCTTAGTCGATGCCTCAATCGCCGACGTCATCGGCGCCGACGGCCCCGCCCACACAATGTGGATACAAGGGGTCGGCTCGGAGGTGAAACACGAGAAGAGCAAGATCGTCAGCTTTAAAATAAGAGGAACGTACGCGCAAGAAGAACACAACATAGAAGCAGCGCGTACTGTAGAGCGGTTGGACTTCGCGCCAGAATCCGTGAATGAAGATCACTTGGGGAATTGCCCACATCTGTTGGATATCAAAGAGGATATCACCTACGAACGCGCCTCACCGAAAGTACTAATCGGGCAAGATAACTGGCACCTCATAGTGTCTAGAAAACTGCGCGTCGGCCGTCGAGACCAACCAGTCGCCTCATACACCAACCTGGGCTGGGTTCTGCATGGCTGTCATAGCTCATTGACGTCGACGGTCACCTTCTGCGGCAGACTACATGAGAGGGAAGATGCACCACCGATAGAAGAAGAAATAAAAAATTATTTCAAATTGGAGTCGCTGTGCATCGAGCCGAGAAGACCGAAAGAAGATCCCGAGCAGCGAGCCATGCAAATATTGGACGAAACCAGCCAGAGGTCAGCGGACGGCAGATTCGAGACAGGGTTGTTGTGGAAACAAAAGGACTTCCAAATACCAAATAATTATAAAGAAGCGGAAAGGCGCCTGCACACCTTAGAGAAGAGGCTCGACCGAGACAGCAATCTCAAGCTACAGTACGAAGAACGCATCGAGAACCTCTTCAACTCGGGTTACGCAGAGCGCGCGCCAATGCCATCGCCGCAAGGAAGGACATGGTATCTGCCACACTTCCCAGTCATCAACCCTGCGAAACCGAACAAACCGCCGAGATTGGTACACGACGCCGCAGCGAAGACAGCCGGAATATGTCTCAACGATATGCTTCACTCGGGGCCCGACTTATTACAATCACTGCCCGGAGTGATCATGAGGTTCCGACAGTATCCGTATGCAGTGAGCGCCGATATAAAAGAAATGTTCATGCAGATTAAAGTGCGCAAAGAAGATACGACCAAAAAGAACGAATGGCGTTGGCTACCGTCTAAAGAAAACGTGGCAGACGACGCAACCCGAGCCACACCAAAAGGGTTCGACGAGTCGCACCGAAGGTTCCGAGGGCCCCCGTTTCTGCAGCGTCCACCGGCAGAATGGCCGCAGGAAGAGAAAACGACACAATATGACACCGGGGAAGAGCGAGAAATATGTAACATCGCTGTTAAAAGTGAAGACTCGACAACAACACATCTTCCACAGATAGGAAGATTTTCTAAATGGATTCGCCTCATAAGGGCGACAGCGAGAGTCCTCCTATTCATCGACATGTGCAGACCAAACAAGCACGTAGTGAAGGCTGGGCGTAAACGCAACAAAGCAAGACAAGGTAGCAACCCTGGCTGGCAGAGAACAAACAAACGCAACACCCCCGCCAAGGAGAAAAAGGCGACTCCTACTGCCTCATCGCTTGTAGGAATACCGGCCGCTTATCATATGAGAGCCGAACAACTGTGGGTGCAAGCCAGTCAGCGGGAAAGCTTCACGAAGGAGCTCAAGAGAATCACCAGCGGAAGTGTTCCGGGAGGCGACGACAAACTAGGCCACCTGAGCACATACATTGATGAAGAGGGGACCCTACGCCTCAGAGGTCGAATAAAAGCGGCATCAGAAGTGGAGGACGACATGTACGACCCTCCCATATTAGACGGGAAGCACGCATACACTCGCCTGTACATAGCACACGTACACGAGAGGCTGCATCACGGAGGCGTGGAAACAGTTGTTAATGAATTAAGACAGAGATTGTACGTAAGAAAAATACGTCCAGTAGTGAAAACTGTCGTCAAAGGATGCCTGCCGTGCCGTCTAAGAAAAGCCAAGCCTGCATCACCGTCTACAGGAAACCTGCCGTCCGCACGCCTCGCTCATCACGCACGTCCGTTCACATACACCGGACTAGACTACTTCGGGCCAATAGAAGTCACAGTGGGACGACATCGCGAAAAGCGCTATGGCGCGTTATTTACCTGCATGACGTCGCGAGCAATACACATAGAAGTAGCCCACTCGTTGAGCGCAGACTCAGCCGTGTCGGCACTTAGGCGTTTTATGAGCAGAAGAGGATGCCCAAAAGAAATATGGAGTGACAACGCTACGTGCTTCAAGGCAGCAGACAAGGAGATGGCCGAAGCAGCACTCGCAGCCCTCGAGCACGAAACCACGTGTCAACAGATTGTGTGGAAGTACATACCGCCATCAGCACCGTTCATGGGCGGCGTATGGGAGCGAATGGTTCGCTCCGTAAAAGAAGCCCTACGCGTCACCCTCAACGAGCGCTATCCCAGCGACGAAACATTGGGGACCCTGCTCGCCGAGGTCGAAAATACTGTAAACTCCAGACCTCTCACACACGTCTCAGTCGACCCAGGAGACCCTGAAGCCATCACGCCGAATCACATCCTCATCGGTCCCAACTCGCACGTACCTGCGCCGGGACACTTCAGCAAGAATGACGTGACGGCCCGCCAGCAATGGAAACGAGCTCAAGCCCTAGCCGACATGTTTTGGAGAAGATGGGTTAAAGAATACCTGCCCCTACTCCAACACCGGCGGGAGCCCAGCAGCATAGGAGTATCGCCGAAGATTGGAGACCTAGTCATCATTTGTGACTCCAATCTACCACGCAACACCTGGCCCAGAGGGAAAATAAGTAAGGTATATCCTGGCGTCGACGGAGAGGTACGAGTAGTGGACGTAACCACCGGCAGTGGGCACATACTAAGAAGACCAACGAAGAAGATCGTCGTGCTACCAGAGGGATCGCAGCGTGGCGACGGCGGGAGAATGTGCACGACGCAACAATATTAAACAAACGAAAGAAAATGCTTATTGTAACCGGCGCTAGTTGAACAACCTAGGAGCGGTGGGCGGAGCCATGACGACGGTGTAATTATCAGGCCACGCCTCTGGTTCGACAACTAGCAAGGGTTATACGGCGGAACTAGCGCAACCTTATGTTGAATTTAAATTATAATTTGTGTAAATAATTGTATTACTTGTATCGAACGATAAAAAATAATGATTGTATTATAACTAAGTTTAAGGTTGAGTTGTAACTGTGCAATAACTCTCCCAAATAAAGGCACCCTATGAACAGGGAGAGTTAGCATAGTCTTCTAATGAAAACTATAATTGTTAAATATAATAAATGTTTACTTTATTATATAATAAATATATTAGGCCGTTAGGCACATAAAAAAAATAGTAGTAGTGTAACCAAAGAGCATGTTATCGTGACGCGGCCGCGGAGCAAATGAAGCCACGCGCACCGCGCCACGACGTTTTATATTTATAGTGCTGAGGCGGGGGGAAGGATTCTCCGCCTAAAGCAGCTGAAAATTATAATGTAAACCTGTAAATAAGTAAAAATATTGATATGTACACCCTAGTTTAACAAGTAGTTATAAGAATATTATATAGTGAATTATGTTTATTAGTTTGTAAGGTTATTAAATAAATAAAGATAGGCGCGGGGGTGAGGCAAGGGTCCGCTGGCCAGCAGCGGCCAAATCATATAAAAGACGGGCCGGCCGCTAGGGTCAGCAGTCGCTCTCCAGCCACCGAAAAGGCACCAGCAAGAAAAGAAAAAGTACAAGTTCCTCCTCACCGCCGCTTGCCTCCAGTTAAAAGCAAGACCAGCGCGTTTTATTCCATTTTTCGCACGGCATTACGGCGATCCGTAATAGCTTTATTAATTATGGGATCTTAAGCAGATATTAGCACACAGCCACTTCTCCTTTGAAAGGAGAATGTTTTTTTTTTTTAATTTTATTTTGGACAGTCTTATCCTTGGTAGAAATCGATGCCACACATCGGTGGTAAAGCACCAATAACTTCGGGCGTTTATGAACGTTTTAATTAAACGGGATTAAATAAAAAAGAATTTTTTTTCAATATAATACTATACTATTCGCGATAAATAAGAAATTAAACTAGAGGTATTAAAAGGAACCGTAACCATATTTCAGATGAGATGTCACGTTAAAATGCATAAAAAGTAAAAACAGAGCGATTTCTGAGGTTAAATTAAAGATTTCAGTGAATTTAGTATTCATACTTCTATTTCTAATATATTGTTTTTTTTTTTTTAGGTGAGACACCGGCAGCAATGCAACACGGAAATTCATCAGTTACGAAAACTCGTATTCATTGTTTCACCCAGACGTTAATTGCCTTAGCGTCATTAATTTTGATATTCAAACAAAACTATCAAGAATTTGGATAACGCAGAGTAGCATAGTTATGTATTTTATTACGCTGTTAATTAATATCCTACCCTTGTAATATAATATTCCATATCTCAAATGTTATACAAAGTATTTTCCAGTAACAAAAACGGAAAGCTCTTCATATTTATTACCTTTGCTTTTGTAAAAATTATACAATCAGCAACAATTTATACATAGTGATTTGTGAGATTAAAAAATTAATGTACGTTAATGCCTCGAGAAATTATGAAAGATAAAAAATATTGTTTTGTTTCTGGAAAAGCCTTAATTCTTATCAAGTTTTAATGTTTATTACAGTTGATGAATTAAGAAAAAGTATACCAAGTGAGTACAATAATTTATCTGTAAATAATATAATATTGTGAATTATTATAATATATCCGTAAATAAAAGTTAAGACTATGTAATTATCTGCTATTTGAATTTAAGGAATAAATAAGTATTTTGAATTGAACGTGCCAATTTATTCTAGTTTTATTTACATCGTTATTGTAAAATTTTATCGTATTTGAATGATTCGGTAGTCATCACCAAGCATTTTAAACATCTCTCTCTCTCTCTCTCTCTCTCTCTCCCTCTATCTTTCTCTCTCTTATATTTGTATAGAGAGAGAGAGAGAGAGAGGGGGAGAGAGTGAATTAAGTTGTGTTGACGAGAAACGTGTTAATGATAAATCCAACACCCCCCTTGGGATGGTCACTCTCTCGGTGATAGAACATGTGGCGGTGCTGTCGTCGCGCCACAAGCGAAACACATCGAAGCCTAAATCGCACTAACAAAGTTCCGAAGTTTAAGCAGCATATATAGAAAAGCTCCGAACTACCAATCAGAGCGTTGGCCGCTCCCCGGGCAGAACACCTTGCCCGGCGGGAGATCTCCCCTTTTCCTTCCACCCGCTACAAACAATTTGCCGGAGTAGAGTATTCTCCTCCCCCGCTCTTAGGACCTCAGATAATCCTATCATATCCCAGCGCAAGTTGTCTATCTCTTCTTCCAGCTCCAGGATCTTCTTGTCAATCCTCAGGTGAGTGCGTTAACTGTTGCCAGGTCAAGTCGTCTCAGATGACAACCGAACTTCCACCGGAGATTTTTAGCGCCCACCGCTATGCCGTTACCTTGTTCGCAACCGTAGCCAGGAACAGCGAGGCCGCCGTGGACTGGGGGACGTTTATTTATGTCGTTGCTCATGGAAGGATGTTTGCCATAGTTGCCACGTTTAGCGAGCGTATTGACAACCGCAGTTTTTATTGTAATTTTGCTGTTATCAAAAAGATGCTGATGCCCATCTCTTGTTTCAGTTTTACTCTGTTGCCTCTTACAACACCTATGGAAAGATATGGGTAGTGGATATTTTTACACCACCACTACACGGTTATATATTATATATATATATATATATTTAATTTCTCCCTGAATTGGTAAATCTTGTTGGTTTGGTGATAACAGTATTATCACACATCTTTACCTTAGTTGAGGGCCGTCCATGACAAAAACTTTAACAGGTTAAAACCTGTTAAATTTTCTGTCTGTCTAATATGGTCCGGTCCGATTAAATCTTTAAAAGAGCTGAAACGATTGTTTTTTATACACCAATAGTATGTCAATGGAACACACAGTCCACCAGTAGGCCAATACTGTGGCCTTTAAATACCTACATTTGTCGTCAATTAATAATCAAACTGTAGATGTATTGTCAGCCCTAAGACCTAAGATGAAACGCCTCGAATCCAGTAAAAAGGGTATCTGGTTCTCTACACTCATCATACGAAACAAAGCAGCATTAAGCTGCTATTTTATGCTAGTTTTCTATGAGAACGTGGTCCTACCACGACCGAGCCGACCTATTCGTGTTACAAACATAATATAGCTGCAACATAGCTATACCACGTAAAACCACGTGATGAAGTCACAAGAACAGATACATAACAAGAGATATCAAAGCAATATTTTGTCTTAAAACTTGGAGATGTTTTTTGTGAAATGAAATAATAATAATAAAGGTGTGTGATGATATTTGAAACCCTAATGACGTCACATAAATAGATTCAACCCAGGCGAGGCCGGGAAATAAATACAAGGGATGTTATTTTTGTTGGTGTGTTATCGTATAAACTCTCTTTTAAAATTCAGTACTCGTTACTAAATGCGCATAAATATTTGTTTTAATTTTCTAAATATACCCTCCCGTATTTGTTACTCATAATAATACTTTATTTTCATTACTTGCATATCTATCACATTTATCAATATTTACTTTATGATCTATACTTAGTTCACACTGAATGATGAAACACATATGTTTGAACTAGATAAACATATATCTGTATTTCGGATCATGATGTTCTTCCTTTTTATATGTTAACATACTAACGTATAAAGCATAACTAATTAAAAAAAAGATCTCAAATAGAAGGTATCCATCCATCCAGCCTATAAATGTGTACTGCTGAATATATGCCTCCCTCATAGATTGCCTCTTGGGGGAATTTCGCAATAGTTGCCATGCTTAGCTAGCGTATTGGCAACCACAGTTTTTATTCTTTTGATTAATTATCACGAAGATACTGCTACCCATCTCCTGTTTAAGTTTTCCTCTGTCGCCTCTTACGACACCCTAGGGACGATATGGGTTAGTAGATATTCTTTCAACGCCACTACACGGATATATAAAAGGTATACAACAAATAAAATGTGAAACTTAATCATAACAAAATGTGTTTTGTGATAAAAAGAAAAATTTTGAAATGTGTATTAAATGTACCTCTATGTGTATATATTGAATATGGATTTAATGTGTAAGTAATATTCACGTGGAGTAAGTGATGCTTCATTTCTTTATAGTTTAACTGATGAAGAAGTTCAAATAATTTGATTTTGGATTTTATTACTTTAGGAATAAATTTCAGTGATTTTACTGATTTTATTATAAATAAATGATTTAACGGGATACCAATAGGTATTTTTTAACGAAGGAATGACTAGAAATAGGTCTATTTTTGCAAACTTTATATTTTCTTCGTTTAACAAGAATTCGATAAACAAGAATGTTTCAACACCGTATTCAGAATAAATAGCTGAGGAACAATGAGTAGTACAAAGGATTGGTATAACTGAAACGTAGGGGAAAGTAAGGACTTAAATGTGCATACTTTAAGGATTGCCCTTTGTACTATTTCAAGGGGCTTTAGGATCGATTTAGATGCACCTACCCACACAGTAATACAATAGTACAAGGTTTATTTAACAAGTGCTAGGTGTAGTTGTTTTAAGTACGTGGTTTTGCATACTAAAAGAGATAAATTGTGTCTTATCGACATTGAGAAATAGAGAATATTGTTTATTTATTTATTTAAGTACACCAATGATTGTTACAACATTGCATAAATAGTAAACACACATAAATTTATATACGAGTACTATTGTACAATGAATTAAAGTTATACACCGCTGGTTTCAAGTTACTACAAAGTTACCTAGTAATATTTGTTGCAACAAATGACTAACTAAATTTAAAACATTTCCCCCACGAATCTTCAGAGAATAGCAGGGCAGTGTTAACTGCATAGCATATTATTTTACCATTTGACATGTTGAGCTGACAGAGGTCATTTATTATAGATAATAAACAGGCTTGAGCCTATTATAGGTACTGCCTTGTGGCACACCATGTGTAATCAGTAGATTTCCACTAACGTTATCTTTAATTTTGATATATTAGCCGAAGATCGGGTTAAGTGGTGCGCCTTGGGAGAGGCTTATGCCCAGCGGTAGACTGCCACAGGCTAGTGATGATGATGATGAGATATTTATTAGAAAGGTATTCTTTGAATAAATTTAACTGAACATTCCGTTTTCTAAGAGATTCAAGCTTATGTAATAATAAAGTAATGAAAAATGTGTGAAAAGCCTTGGAAAGATCCGAAAATATACCTATAGATTTCTTGCCTTTGTCCAGATTGCTTACAATATAATAGTAACCTCATTGACCGCATCGCAAGTTGATTTATCGGGTCTACTGAACGGGGGCTTTTCGTCTATGTATATGTCTAGTCTTTTATTGATTTTACGCTTTTAGCTTAGAGATAGAAGAAAATATCAATATAGGCCTATAGTTGTTGACGCGTTAATGGAATATACTGTAGATGTTTTAAATGTGGGTATACCTTGAAATAAACAATTTTTAAAAATATGTTTCAAACGAGAAACGAAGATTAATTTGAAGTTTTTAAGGACCTTATTCGGTATACAGTGCCAATATATAGAACAAACATCTTTTGACACGATCATCAACTGTTGCTCTACCAAAATAATCTATAGAAATATATACAAATAAAAATCTTCAGGTAGCATAAATATGCGTCGCATGTCGTGTCTAGCTATATAAATTTAATTCGAATAGCACTGAAATAAGTTTTGAAATATACTATCCCGTGTTTATTACACGTTTTTTAATCTTAACTAAATATTATTATATATTCTTCAGGTTGCATAAATTATAATATTAGTTGCTGGTAAAGTCTAATATAGCTGAGATATTGCTCCCCGTTGCAGATTTTGACTTTTAAGCTTTATCAATGAGATACTAATTAAGATATTGAAATTGGTTTTTTCTTCTTATCTAAAGTAAATTATTTTACCCATTTGGGTGAATTAAGAAATGTTACAAGTTTGAGGTAAGAATTGGAATGTCTTCTAAATAGTTACATGAAAACTAACCCCGTTCTTCCTCCATTACGGGTGGAGATTTTCTTCTTTGCGGGACCATTTCTGGAGTAATAAATATATATTTTTAATCGATTCAGAATCGATACAATCAATTTTTTACAGTCAAAAAAATTACACATAACACATTCGCCGCCACTGGGGCGATAAGTAGTAAAACACAACTATTTTGAGGTTAAGTTACTACACCGTACGTGGTCAGGTGGGAGCACTGACTTTTTTATAAAATGCAGAAATAATGTTATTTTATAAATTAAAATTATTGTAGAGTATT